TCATGGCCCTGGTCATGTTTGACCGTTTTCAGTCATAGGCTAAACAAATCACGCACAAAAATAACAAAGCAAACGCATGAACACAGTAGAGTTGCGGCGCGTGGTTGGCCAATGGCGCTTTTATTGATGCAGCAGAGGTTAGTTGAGAACTCCCCGGCGGCAACTGGTACATAGGTGAAGTTCAAAATAAAGTCAAATTTCGGTGCTCTCTAAAAAATAAAATTCGGGGGAAATCCAATTTAGCGGAATTACGTAACTGAAACCGTTTAGTCTTGTCTTTTTTCTATATTTCTACACATTGTATATTGCACGTATAATATAATTATTCAAATTAATAGGGACCCCGGACCTGCAGAACCTCTTTTTTTTTTTTCTCTTGTCCATTGGACATCGTGGTATTTGTGCTACAAAGGTGGATTTGATTTCAAAACGTGGCATCACGTGCAAAAGGTACTACGTTCTGAGAACTTAGAGGACGCCGGTACCCCAACAAATACAGGTTCACGGCACAATTCTGTTCTTCATTGGTTTTCACCAAGAGTCTTGAATGACGGTTGAAAGAGTCGAACGAAATGCTTCACATAGACTGAACGAGGGCGTCGAGTAAAATCTCAATTTTGCGATATTCTTTTAAACCCTTCAAGGGACACAGCATTGAAAACAAACATTTTTAAAGGTTATTTGGTATGCGTATCTTTTTTATACTTTTGCCACGTAATGTGTTTTTTTCTTGCGTGCAATGTTTACGCCGTTAGATGCAATCTAGGGGGAGGGTATGGCACGCTTTAAGCCCCGCCCACAAGAAATCAGTGGTTTTGCCCATTGCTACTGAACTGACTTGACTGCTCGACCGAACACGCTAACAAGCCTAGTGTCTCCCTTTTGTGACATCCGGTACGTCTAGTCTGGCGTCTGACACTTCCAGCTAGTCGTGCGAGAAGACGAGCAGCAACTTCCTGCATAGTCTGCTATTCCACCACCGTGTATCGCCTGCAATATCAAGACGCGGTTACGTGACCCCCCCCCCCCCCCCCCCCCGAGGTCACGTGACCTTCCCCGAGGTCACGTGATCCTCGAAGGTCACATGACTCCCACCCCACGAGGTCACGTGACCCCTCCTCTTCCCCCTCCCCCTCCGAGAACACGTGACCCTCATTACCCTTCCCTCCTCCCCCTCAAGAGCTGCGCTCTCATTTGGCGTTACAGGAAGTTGTAAACGGCTTTCATTTTTTTTTTTGCTGCAAACTACGTCGGTTGAGGAGATCTTCATCTAAACACCTCTCTAAACTCAAAACCACTAGCACTCGTACAAATTGAGGAGCATGACCGAGCCCCGCACGTTCAGAACTCCGCAGACGCCGGCAGCCATGTTTGTTAACGTTTCAAACCAAAGCGGGAGGAGTAATCTCAGAATACACTTGAAAACAATGTATTTTCTTCTCAAACGCAATAAAATATTCGATTGGAATACTATTACGGCACGGAGATACAAATTTACAACCAAATTTTTACTCGTCAATCGTCACTCCGGCCAGTCAGAGATGTAAGCACTTTGTAAGCAGGAGGCAAGGCTTAGCGGGCGGCGACATTAACCTCCAGCGACACTAAATTGCGTCTACCGGCGTGAATATTGCTCAAAAATTGTTTTCCTTGGTAAGCGTTTTTGGTAGATGTACGTGTCCCTTTCAAAACACTTAAAAACTTTTTTTTTCATTGCAGTGCTTTCCTTTTTGTTTTCTTTTTTTTTTTGTTCAGTGTGTAAACTTTTTGGTGTGTGGAAAATAGAGCTCCACGGCTTTTTTATTTACGAGGGGTGTCCTACGTCCGTCTTCCTTGACCTCGGGTATCCGGCGTGATGCAGGCAATGGGGGAATTATTCATGAAGGGTCTTCACCGCGAACTACAACGATTTTAACTAGAAAAGCAAGCTTTTTTATTTGAATGGTAACATTTACGAGTTAGAAACTGTTATGCCGTATCCCCCCCCCCCCCCCCCAAAAAAAAAAAAAAAAATAGGTAAGGTTCCCGGATAATTTTTTCTTTGACGGACTAAGGGCCGGTTGCACCAACGCCGCTTACCTTAACCCAAAGCGGCACTTTCCTAAGCCGGCTTAGCGCCCTAAACCGAGCTTAGGTAAGCACGGGTTTAAATTCCGGTTGCACCAAAGTTAAGCCGGCTTTACAGACGCGCCCCTAGCTAAACGCTGGATTTGCGTAGGGAATCTAGGGACAAACAGAGCAAACTAGGGAACGCTCAGAGCGACGCATACGATTGGCGGAGAGGAATCACGTGATGTAAACAAAACAACAAAAAAAAAAGAGAGAAAAACTGCCGTAGTAGTCGTCGTCGGCGTCTGCTTTTCGCTGTATTTCTTCGGTGAGTAACAAATTAAAGGTCTCCAAATTCAATCATTTTTTCGTTTAACTTTCAATAACAGAAGTCAAAGCTTCAAATAAACACGAATGCTCTTTACATCTGTGATTGTGTGTTTAATATCGGTTGATAACAGGATATTTTGACAGTGGTAGTAGTTTTCGTGCTCACATTTTGAGGCGAAGGAGCCATCGGGGGCCCCAAAACTCACCGAACGCGAGAAGGACACTCTACTCACTACATCGCTGAAGACAAAACATCATGGATATAAGTAGGCAGGTAAGATGACTACTAAAACCAAGTCAAGCCTGAGACCGATGAAGTTCAAAACAGTGACGAACTCGCCACGGCAGCTGCGAAAATGCCCGGAAATCGTCGAATAGAAGTCGTCGAGAGGTCAGGTCACGAGACCTTGCATCGACGGTACTCGTTGCTATCAGCAAGGTGACAGAACTGCACTGTACCGTCGTTGAACATCCGCTGCAGCCTGAAACGGACTTCAGTTTCACACTGTCGAGTTCAGAAAAAAAAAAAAAAAAACTCCCACTAGTACATCACATCGCGCCGATAAGAACGGTCGTCTCTTCGCATCACCTGCCCCAGCCTACCCCGATACAGCAATGAACGAATCTAACATAGAAGTCGTTACGATTTGTCGTCGCCACGAATGAAAGATATAAACCAAAATATTCCTAAAAAATCGCGATCACCAAAAAAGTTACGGAGGACACAACAAGGCGCAACTTTCAACTGAATTTTATTGAAAACGTGTTCCGGTATATAGTCTCAACCATCGTCACAATGACAACAAACGACAAAAGTAAAGGAAAAACACCATCACAGAGCACAACTCGGAAACAACAGTATCTCGTTCTCGGGAAACGAATGAAAGATATAAAGCAAAGTATATAAAAAAAATGCGATCACCAAAAAAGTTACAGTTATGGAACGATACAGTTTTCTGACGCCAAGATTCTACTCGCGAGGTAAGGAAAATTCACTGAAGATTGTCTCAAAACTCAGAAAACGAAAGAAATTGAATTTTCGCTGTTTTATTACTTAAAAGCGCCGCAATCTAATGCAAACGGCAGAGGTGTCGAGAATCAGCTGATCGCCGAGATCATGTACAGCCACTATTCAACGCGCTGATCAGATTGAAGGATACGCGCTGCAAGTGTAAATAAACAAGGTGGTAAATAACAATACGTTACAGCTATGGGAAAATTAGTAAGTACATACGAATAAGCTCGTTGACAGAAGAACCAACGGGAATACAGACGTGAGCCCCACAGCTCCGTACGTTTCTCGGTTAGGGCTAACACCCCCTGAAAGTGGAGAGCCAACTTGAAAACAGGGGTCGATAAACACTTCACGCGACAATATTTTGCATCCTTGTCACAATCGAAAGTCATTTTGTCGAGACTTTCACGCTGATGTAGCCTAAAACACTTTGCACAACCAAGTTCGTCCACCGCGTCGACCGTGACAAACCAGCCGCCATGTTTTTAATCCAGGATTAAGAAATAACCAGAAGCAAAGCGCCCAATGTTGAGCGCTTAAGTTAAGCGTAGTTTAATGCTAGGTTTAGCGATAAGCGAGTTTGGTGCAACCGAACGAAACCGAAACTAAGCTTAAGTTCCCGGCTAAGCTCCGCTTTGCGCTAAGCGACATTGGTGCAACCGGCCCTAAACAACTCAGTTGTGCTTATTTGCAGACGAATTGAAAACAATGCTGGATTGGTTTGAAGTTACTTTAAATCGCGACTGTTCATACAATCCGCCTTGATACAAAGAGATGAGTGGTTTAACGAAATAATGATGTTGTTTATAGTTATTCACCTAAAAACAGGATGTGTGGTTACGCGTGGTCTTGGAATTTATGAACGTGTTGCGAGTTGACTAGGCCTTACAGCGACCACTCGGCTCCCATGTAGTTCAGAACCACGTTTCTTTTATTGTAAACTACTGACGCAGCTTCTTTTTAAATACTTCAAAAATATCCTACCTACACTCTAAGAAATACCTGTGCGTCTACTTACCCGCAAAACGCTCAAAGAGCCAAACATTGCGATCTAGGAAATCAGCTCAGCGATTGACGAGTCGGAACATATGGTTAGATCTTAAAATTAAGTCTACGCTGAGGCATTACGCAATGTAATCATGACGCTTTGCATTGCGTAATGCAACAGCGCAGACTTCCTTTCTAGGTCTAAACGGATGTTCCACCACATCATTCGCTTAGCTGATTTCCTAGATCGCAATTATCGGCTCTTTGAGTGTTTTGCGGGTAAGTAGGCGCGCAGGCATTTCTTGGAGTGTAGTAGCTATAGAGCCGAGGAAAATAAAAACTGGACAAATTTGTCTTCTTTTTACGATTCTTTTTACTTCAGCTAAAATCACTGACATCTTTGGAAGTGCAAGGTGTGGCAAATTCTGAGTGTCTTCTCGCGCTATAAATTGAAGAGTTTGCGGCATGAGTTCATGAAGTAGCTCAAAAACGAACTGGAAAGCAAGAAGTGTAATCTCACATTAGCCACGACTTGCGTTTCTTGAGCTGTCGACGAGGATATTGTTTCTAAAACTATATTGTTAATAAGATCTCTAACAGAAAAAAAATGATTAAAAAGTTTCCATTTTCTCCAGAAGAGTCACCGTTTGTGTTCAATCTGGAGAGCGTTGTAAAGAAATATGTGGAGGACTACGCAGCTCGACATGATACCACCATTTCTTTCTATGACATGTGGGCGAAACACCCCCTAATGCAGGAGCGCGGGGTGTACAAAAGGTACGATGAACCACGTTTCAATGCATGCAGCTCAAACAAATACTCTGCTTGTACTAAAACAAATTACGTTCATGTCTAGACAGCGTAAGGTCGGTATGCATCTGAGGTTTGGCGACACAAGTTTATGCTCCAGACAAGAAATTTAGCGTGCAGTACGACCGCTAGCCGGGGAATGTTAACCTGTATCACACTGTAGCGATGCACGACCGCACACCGGTACTATGCTCACGATACTGTTAATGATATTATTTGTTTGCTACTCAAAGAGAGATGCTGGTGGTTGCAGAGAGACCCTACACCACGGTGTAAGATAGACAGGTGGGGAAACGGCCCATAGAAGCTACCGCAGCGCCGTGACCGGATTGTGTACTCGTCTGCTTGCGGGTACCCCCGATTTGCGACAGATGGCGCTGCGGCGAGAGGAAAAAAAGTCGGAATCGGATTTGCGTGGAACTCTTTGGGAGAGTGCACAAAATAAACCGAGAGCACGACAGTCCTCCATTGAAAATCCACGAGAAACCATCTCCGTCAGTTTAGCCGGTCGCCACCGGTCGCCCACCTAGAGTGAGGGTTCGCGGAGCTCCACATAGATGGCGCCACAGAAAAAGAGAAACCCGAGGGGGACACAATCCGGTCGCTCGTTTGGCTCTCGTTTCTCCACCTGTCTATCTTACACCCTGCCCTAGGCGCTCATCCAGGTCGAAAGAAAAGGGGTTGGAGATTGAACCCAGGTTACCAGGCTTCTTCTGCAGAGCAGCTTTCGCTCCACCTGGTCTAAGCTTCCATCACATTCGGCCCCCAATGCCTCATGAATATGAAACTTTCCGAGCCGTGTACGCATCGGAAACCAGTGCGCTGACTCTCCAAGTTTCCCCACATTTTGCTGGGAATAAGAACTATAGGGTGGCTGTCGTAGATTTCGCGCCGTAAAAAGAGCCGGAAATATTGACGCCTGCAAGTCGAAAAGCTTGCACTTTCACCGTACCCGCACTGATATCGTCACTTTTGCCTTGCGATCGTTGAAACCGTAGTTCTCTTCCCGTAAAAACAAAAGACCAGCAAACTTGACAACGTATGCGGCGGACGTGTTGGCAGACGACCGAGTTAGCTATTATTATAACTAGTCAAGTCAACTCGTGATAGATGCGGTGTCCACACAACGAAGTGCGTCGTCTGCTTGCTGTGACTTTCGGCAGATGGCGCCTCAAGTTACATTCATCGCTAACTATAGGTCGACTACACACAGGTGTGCCGTGGTCTTTGGGAAGTTTATTGGTTTTATTTCGTACAGAAATGCAAACTACGCCTTGAAATTTCACGAGCTAAAACCTACGACCTCAAGGCACATTTGGCGAAAGTGTGAACTCTCTATGTAAAGGCGCCAATTTTTCGCCTCGTTTTACAGAGTAATAATCACTGTAGCCACCTAGCGTAGAGCAAGTCGCCTGCTTCTTGCGCAAGGGTGCCGGTGACGTCAGAATGACGCCGAGCTCTTATCGGCTGATTGAAAAAATGAAAGCCGTTTACAATTCTGTAACGCCGGTTAGAGCGCAGCTCTTCAGGAGGGGGATGTAAGCGTGCTGAGGGACAGGTGACTCCTTGAGGTCACGTGACCTAACGGGGGGAGAGGTCGCGTGACGTAAGGGGTCACGTGACCTCGGGGGAGGGGATCACGTGACGTCAGGGGGCTCACGTGACCTCGGGGAGGAGGGTCACGTGACCTCAGGGGCTCACGTGACCTCAGGGCTCCCGAGGTCACGTGACCTGGGAGGTCACGTGACCTCGTGGTTACACCGGCGGGGACGGCGATGCCGCTCAAGCCGGAAACGGGCCCCTTAGAGCTGCGCTCTAAAAATAGTGGGTCAACCTCAAGGCATCCAGCACTAAGGTCTACCCACTGTTTTTTTCAATCAGCCAATCAGAGCTCTGCGTCGTTCTGACGCCACCGCAACTCCTGAGCAAGAAGCAGACGACTTGCTCTCCGCATATATCCAACCCGTGTGGGTTTTAAGCGACCCGCGTTCTACCTTCATATAAGAACTCATCGTACGTGACGCGCAATGCACTCTGCAATCGGAAACGTGACATCGGCGAACTTTTTGGACCTCTTTGAAAAACATTGGAGGACATCAAATTTTACCGTTTAGGTTAGTGCCTCAAATGAGCACTCGCCACACCGCTGTACGGTGTGCACGTTCGTCTGTTCCGATGTTAATGCAACTATACCCGTTTTCACCTAAAGAACCGAAGTAAAAAAAGTCCGGCTTCTCGCGGAGCATTACTAATTTCCCTTTTACGAGGAGAATTAATATATATGTAGGTGCATTTTAGATTAGATATATGTTATCTGATCAAGACATATACGTTTCAAACGCCAAAAGGATCGCTTCTTCCTCCGACAACCAAATCTTGTAAGAACTACTTCGCCCGGCGTATGAACAATGCGCAAAACGTCCTTTTTTCTTGAGGTGAAAACGAGTATAGTGAAATTGTGCCACAAGCTGGACAAGAATAACAATAATAATCTCTGGAGAGGGAAATAAAGGGGACAAGGGCCAAACGCAAATCTCTAAAACCCGTTTGCTCCACTGAGCTAACCCCTGGTTAGCTCAGTTGGTATAGAGCGCTCCACTGGAATTAGGGAGGTTCCTGGTTCAATACCAGAACCAGGTGTTATTTTTTTTTTCACTCGCGCACCATTAACCTAGTTGTTTATAATGCAATTAAATGCAAAGGTGCAAGCGAGCTAAACAAGAATGACGAAAATAATTGCATTTAATTGCATTATAATCATTACCTTGAAATTGCAAGCTTCACCCTTGTTGGTGTTAGACTGGTGGCGGCTGATAAAACCCGTTTTCTCTACTGATGTCTAACCCCTGGTTAGCTCAATTGGTAGAGCACTCCACCTGTAATGGAGTGCTCCATCGAACCCCTGGTTCGATACCCGGACCAGGCGGATTTTTTCGGTCGCGCACCAGTCACCTAGCTGTGTTTGGAGTTTTGTGTTTGTCCTTCGTCCCTCTTGTTCCCCCTCTCCAGGGATTTTTTTCGTCAACCTAGTTGTGTTTGGAGATTTGTGTTTTCCTTTGTACCCCTCGTTCCCCCTCTCCAGAGATTATTGTTGTAATTCGTCCGTTCTTTCCGCACCTCAAGTATTTGTTTACCCCCCCCCCCCCCCCCACCCCAAAACGCCCACGTGCTTTTGTTTCCCCTGGAACTCAATTAATGATGTCACCCGCTTGGCTGCCTCGTCATCGCGCGTTCCTTGAGCATTTTCTATGATGCCCTCTGATTGGCGCGATTCTCCTTGCATTCCGGCGCACCGAAGACGGATATGGGGACGTTTGCTCGCCGTATAGTCGCGGACAACTCGAGAGAGACGTAGGACGTGATGAGTTTCAAAGCACCTTAAAGGAACACTGATACCCCCCAAAATCGTTCTTTTTTCACTTTTTTGGTAGGCGATCCATTATGGTGTCAGAAGAATACCCAATCAATATCTTTCTACAGCACCGCATGTACATTTTATTAGTCAGTCAAAAAACGCAACTGCTAGAAACCGAAACTGGACCAGGGAAGAATAAAAAAATATAGGGGAGGAGAGTGTGGCTGGAAGTCACGTGGCTGTGCTTCATTTTTCTCCAGTCAAAGTATTTGCAGCTTTTTTGAAGGAACACCAATAAGTGTGATATTTTGTTTCTATTTTTAATATTGACTGTGCGCTTTTGATGACCCATGACTTTTATTACATTTGGTGGTTGTGTCTAAATCATAGAAAACGGCACGTGACCTCGGAGAAGAGAGTGAGCGCGACTCAAACCGGTCAGTGATCGATCGCCGGTTTTCGTGCGGAAAGAAACCGAATTTTGGGTCGCAACTTTTGTTTTGGTTAGTTGGGCTCTCCTATGTTATGTACAAATAAAAACCTTGACGAGCATAAATACCCTGCCATTGTTCCTTTGATATATCGCTGCCCACATCCAATGTGATTCAGGCGTTCCTGGGCGGTTACGAAAAGGCCGCTGCTAACAAAAACTGTGCGTGTTGAGTGTCTTTTAGGCGTGGGGCGTAATTGCGACAGAGCAGCTTTCAGACAGTGACTATCGTTGGATTGGTCGGCGGTGATCACCCTCTCAGGAGGGATGCATTATTTCCGCGGTAGGCCAAGTATCGTTTTATAAACCATTTCGGCGGTCCAGCATGGAAGTTGATCTCTGAAAACTGTTCGAAGACCCAAAAGAACCATAGGCAACGATTCGGTCCAGTGGGATTGAGCCTGTCGGGAAATGAGTGAGGTCTTCAGATGACGATGAAACCTTTCAACTAATATTTTTTCTTATGAGTGATACGATGAGGTTCTCATTCTGCTGATACTAAAGAGAGATGCGAATTGACTGAAGAGTGCATACTCAAGTTGCCTACCTCTATCCGTGGTGAAGTTTGCTGGCGATCCGAATCGCGAAATCCACATTTGTAGAAATGCTTGTGTGACTGTGTGAGCCGTGATCCCTGGAATAGGAAGAGCTTCGGGCCATCGGGTGAAACGATCAATAGCCGTGAGGATGTATTTCTGGCCTTGTAATTCCGGCAAAGGCCCGACTATATCTAGATGCACATTTTCAAAACGAGTTTCAGGAAGTTGAAAAGTGCCTGCCGGGCTGTGCGTGCGGCGACGAACTTTCGCTCGTTGACATGCGAGGCAATTATTCGCCCAGCTTCTTGCATTGATATTGATGTTTAGCAAAACGTATCAAGAGGTTAGGAGGTTTTGAGATGATCCCTGGATGCGGCAACTCAAGTAAAAAGTCAGAGTTACCGGCTTAACGAGAAGGAAACAAATTGGTGAGGAGAACTGGCAGATATGTCGTAAGTGAATGGTTTATTCAGTCCAGGGAGAGTTGTGTCGTTGAGGCGCAATGCCCCTGGTGCCCCCGGAATCTGGGACGTTCCGAATCCACGTGCTGTGCCTCCACGAGGGCGGTTGGAGTGAGAGGTTGGGCATCACCCCCAGCAATATGGGCTACGTTCAGCCGAGATAGCGCGTCTGCAACTACATTTTGTGTGCCCTTTATGTGTAATATGTCAAAAATTAATTCAGAGATACGGGACATTTGGCGAAGTTCTCCTGGAGAGTGATGTCCGTTGTCAGATCTCAGCGACTGTATTGCGCCCACCAAGGGTTTGTGGTCCGTAAGAATGTGGAATGACCGTGCTAACCAAAAACTATCGGAAGTGACGGATATCTGAATAGACAGCGAAGAGTTTTCGGCTGAAAGTGCTATAGCGACGTTCGGTGTTGGTGAGGTTGCTCCAGAAGAATGATATCGGTTGCCATTCGTCGTAGTCGAACCGCTGGAACACAGCGCCCACTGCGAGATCTGAAGCATCTCAAGCAACCATGTCGGGAACTCAGCTTTCGCGCGACGAAGTGAAGTTTCACGCGCTTTGTGTGCTTTGATGCTGACGAATGCTTCTTAAGCAGCAGGCTGGTGTGGTTTCGAAGATGGTAGAATATTACCGCGCGCGCAGCTTGCCAAGTAGGCGGCGCGACTGGGGCCGAACGGTTATCGTGTCTGGCTCCAAGGTTGGATGCGTAGCAGCGGAGACACCTTTTTGTTATTCTTCTAATTGTCGTGTTCTGGTATATTCCAGAACTGTGTTGCTTGTTCGAGGACAGTATGTTCTATCCGCCGAATCTTCTATGCCGATTATTCCAGAAGCCCACGCGTGTGCAGAAGGGGCTCCGTGTGGCGAGCCGGAGTGAGTCACGCCCCAGCGCTCGATCCTGCTGTTCCGCCGACATCGACGCCTGCGACCCTGGCCTTTTTGTCGTTTTCCTCCTCATCTGTACCCTCTCCTCCAGTGCTCCTCGCCTCCTCCCCCTCTTGTTTCTCCTCCTCCTCCCCATCTCCTCCCCTCCTCCTTCCTCCTCCTCCTCCATCCTCCTGCTCTTCCTCTTCCTCCTCCCTTCCGCGCGATGCGTTATGGAAACGTCCCAGAATGCAACGCGCGCGTATTATGGGACGTTTCTCATAATGCACCGCGCGATTACGCCGACGCCGCTCAAGCCGGAAACGTGCGCCTAAGTGCAGCGCTCTAAAACAGCGCGTCTGGAATGAGGACAAAAAGACGAAGAGAACACAAGACAAGCGCCGACTATGAACTGGTTTGTAGAACATAAGGAAGAAAGACAATGGAATGAAAAACATGACGTCAAATGCTAGTGCACTTGCCGGGCCCCTCGTGGAGTATGTCCCCTTCTTTCTTTTTTTTTTCATCTGATTACAGAACTTGTTTTCTTCTTTCTTTGCTCAGTAGCTCTTGTCACTCTAAATCTAGAAAGTTCATCCCGCTGGGGGACAGAGCCACCGAAGGTAGGCTCCCAAACGAACTGTTGTTCTTATGTTGTACGCTTTAATCATCTCTCGAGATGTTTGGTCGCGGTGTTTATATACAGGGTGTCACAAAAGAAAATTTACACGGTCTTTTTACCGCAAAAATGAACTAGGCATCGCCGAACGCTCATTCTCCGCCAAAAGGTAAAGCTAGAGGTCACAACCAGGTGCCAAAGTTTCAGCTCGATCCGACAACTTAATAAAAAGTTATAAGTGATTTTCTGAAAAGTTCAATCGGAAAATGGAACCCATTTTTGCCTGTTTTCGGTTTCTGGTGCCATACACTCAGAGCCCCATGTGTTCGAAAACCGCCATTTTCCCATTGAAATTTTCAGAAAATCACTTATAACTTTTGATTAAGTTATCGGATCAAGTTGAAACTTTGGCATCTAGTTGTGACCTCTAGAGCTATCCTTTGGGCGGAGGATGAGCGTCCGGTGATGCCTATTTTGTTTTTGCCGTAAAAAAGACCGTGTAAATTTTCTTTTGTGACACCCTGTAGTATACCGGTGTCTTCTAAGCCTGGTTCTCACCCGCAATCTCGGCAATGTACTGGTAGATGTGAATAAGCGGTGCCTTTAAAGGAGATGCGGTGCTCTCGGAGGCGGTGCTTAAACATTCGCCTCAGAGACAACAGTTCGTGTGGTAGCGATTGAGCTTCGGACGTAGGCGAGGAATTTGACCACCGTGATTGGACGGCGCCGACGTCAAGCGTGGCGCCGGTTAATCACGGCCGCCAGATTCCTCCCCTACTTTTTCGCCAAGTGTCCAGACTGGGGCCCCTGATTGGTACCAATCATGCGATCGGTGGGTGGGACCTCTCCGTGTCGTGTGGGCATGTTTCAGGCAGCGTGTCGTGTGAATCCTGTGTGGTCATGCTTCAGGCAGCAGTATGCGGCAATGGTTAGCAGTTGAAAAACAAGCGAATGATGGGTTTAACCTGTGTAAAGCAGCATTTATTTTCTGCGTCATGTCTCATAAATGTCAACGGAAACAAAAAAAAAATAATTAGAATACCACGTCCGTCCAAGCCAGCCGCTTGGCAGGTTCGCCGGAGTCGTGCAAAGTGACTCCGGTCGATCCTTCGTGGTGCTCTGAAGGAAGCGACGCACTCGTTATTCCAGAGCGACCTCTTCCTGACAGATGGCCAGTGCGCTATCTTCATATCTAACCTTTCACGTTGACTGAAGAAACTAAAACCAAGGACAGCGTACGATGCCTAAATTACGCATGTATGCGTTCGAAATTGTAGCGCACTGTATGGAGACCATACAAACAATACAGGATTCAGTCCCATTTTCATTGCGTAGTGCTACTACCGTTTTCAAGCTGAGACACCCAGTTGAAAATTTCTGGCCGGCAAAATAGTTCAGATGTTTCGCAGGGATCACCGCTTCAGTAGATTCGACGCCACTTGTTGTTTCGATCGGGAACGGCTGCCGGCGCGTACGACTAGCATATGATCATATATAGCTAACATTATGTCACCCTTAATTCTATTTAACTCTAGCTTTGGCGCGTCATCGAGCTTCCGGCGTTTATCGGCACAACATGCAAGTGAGTCAGGATCGTTTGGCCTACGAAGCTTCTCGAGACTAGGGCATCCTCTTAGCAGTCCACGTCAACGCACACACTCGCCCAGTCGAGTGCGCCAACGTTAAATGTGCAGAGCAACACAGGAACGTGAGAACAGCACACGACACCCGGCAAGAACGGCAGGTTCAGGTCGCAGAAACAAACACCTCGCGCACTTCAGCACATCCAGATTCGCGGGTGGGGCGCTCGCGCGTTTGCTTCTGGGGAAGCCACCGCCGTTGATGTGCGCTCGTCGACGACGCGAATACAGCATGCTCTATTTTGTCGTGAGCTACGCGGACACACGTTGTGCTACGCTGTGCTTCGCCGTACTGCGCATGACGATGGAAAATAGACTTTGGGTGCTTGCGCTCGTCGACGTTTCGACGGAGTATAGGGAGTATTCACTGGCGGCCATATCCGTGTGCGCTGGCTGCTGCTGAGCGCGTGCTGACGGCGAGCTTCCGCAGTAATTTTGGAGCGTGGATTTAGCACCGTCAAGGTTGCCGGTCTTAGCAGGCTATTAATGTGAGCTCGTTCTGAGCATGCGCTCTAAACATCGCCCTCAAATATGGCGTCCAGTGAATGCCTCCTATAAGCTCCTCTCAAGGTTGTTATTAATTCGAGCACTTTTGACTTATACATACGGCTGCTACCCCTCGCCGTGGATTGTTGATTGCGAAATGTCTGTTTATATTGCAGATTGGCGGTCGTTACTCCTATTTGCGAAGAACCAATAGCAAGAGTGCAATTTGGCGTATAAACAGTTCAAGAGAGTTCTGATAGTATAATTCTCACACATTATCTCAAGTGCGATACAAACTAAGCGTCTAGCTGTCCATCTAAAAATATAGGTAGCGCAACCGCATCATTTATACGGGTTTTGTTCCAGGTACAAGGTGCGAGTGACGGCGAGTAACTTTGAGTTTGGAGAAGCCATTGGGGAACACACCTTGCCCACGGAGGTCTTCACCACCACACATACAAACGAACAGAAGACGGATGCAATACACACTGTAACGCATACCTATCTAAACACGGAGTCTTCCTCTATTAAGTTGGAGAGGGGATTCGAGTCGAAGTACAAGACGAGCGTTCATGTCGGAGTACCTGGCATTGTTAGTGCAGGTGGTGGATTCAGCTTCGATTACACCCTCAATAGGACTACATTGGACACCAAGAGCAAGACTGAAACTTTGAGCATCGAACTCCAGGTTGCCGTGCCGAGCCAAAAGACGGTGCAAGTCACGTGGTACGTCACCAATAAGGTCATGGTAAGTGAAACGTTTAGCAATGAGACGCGTGGCGTTCAGAGTGATCAAACACTGTGATGTACCTCGACGATGATGATGATGATGACGATTTGCAGCGCGCTTCTCTTTAAGTCGGGCGGTCCCATATGGTCTGTGACCTAGCTTGTGGGGTTCACGTGACCCCATTTCTCAGTCCTTACCCACCAATTTCTTTAAGAGCAACGAGTGTCGTCTCGGAAGTTGTCTGCGAACTACAAATGAAGGGCAACTCAACATGCCTCCGGCACTCTGAGTAATTGGCACCGTGCCAAAGAGTCGGCTCGCACCGCTTTCGATGCGTCATACTACCGATACCCAACAAGTAATCGCGAAAATAGACGAAATACGCAAAAATGTAGGAGCTGACTATATATATGTTGGTCTTACGGGACGGTGCACTCCGAAAATGGCGACAGTGGGAAGCAAGCCAGAGAAGAGGATATACTCATGCTCATAAGTTTACTAAAAAATCGTGCATTTCACACTTTAGCTACACAAACTGTATAAAGAGCCTAATGATAATAAACGTCATTAATTTTCCTAAATAGGCCCCTTTGCAGAATGTAATGGGTAACATGTTTTTTTCTTGGTGATGTGTACTATCTGTATTAGGGAATCGGCTTTAGCTTCGAGAGACGCCCTGTATAAAATGACCGTTGAGCATAACAATGGGCCAAGGAGAGGAAGTGGCCTATAAGTAGTTACAAAGTAACACCGGTGGCCTTCACTGACCATTGCCTCGTGGCGGTGGTGGTCGGGAAAGGTGCAGGAAAGAATTCCTTTGTTTGGGGCCTTTGGAAGCTCAACGCTAAATCGTTGAATGACGAATTATTTCTTAAATTTGTGCAGTCATCGTGGTTTGAAATAAACAATAGGCGTATTTCACTGTTTGAAAAGTGGGAATTTCGGAAGGACACTGTAAAAATGATAGCTATTGAACGGTCTAGTATTTTATGTTTTGAATCGCGGCAGCGTGAGACAACGCTGGAAAATAATTTAAAACAGCTGTGTCAGTTGGAGTGTGAAAGTCCCGGTGGCTTAATTAACGATATTTTCTTTATAAAGGCGCAGCTGAATGAGCTGTCCCAAGATCGGTATCAGGGTGCGATAGTCCGCTCGCGGGCCGAGAAGTTTCTACTCGGTGAGCAACCGACGAGGCGCGCTCTATCGGGAGAGCATAAATATGCTCAAACCAAACAAATTAATTCCATACATTCAGGCCCCATTCTCACTTTTGACAAAGACGTAATACAGGACGTCTTTGTTAGACATTATAAATATGTTTTGGTTGCAATAACGCGCCATTTTGTCTGAATAATTTGACTGATATGCTTTCTGGCCTGCCCACTCTTCCCGAGCAGAATATGATCGAGTTAGAGTCATGCATTAAGCTGCCAGAAATTGAGGACGCCATCAACTCGTTGCCGCCCAGTAAGTCTCCGGGTCCTGACGGCCTCAGCGCCGAGTTTTTCAAGCAATTTAAAAGCATATTATGCCCATTTTTTTTGCAACTCTTCATTCACACGTACAAGGTAGGTAGCCTACCACCCAGCTTCACCAGAACACATACTGTTTTGATACCAAAGACCGATGATGTTGATAAATTGCAGTTTGTAACAGGCTATCGCCCCATAACTCTTTGTAATATAGACAACAAAATATTTGGGAAAGTTCTGGCTAACCGCCTCCAGAGTGTTGTATCCGACCTCGTTTGGGAGCATCAGACTTGTGGCATCCGAGGGAGGACCATACATACTAACACTCACGTGGCGCGCAGCGTATTCGACTGCGTAGTAGTAGTAGTAACAAATTTATTCAAAGTGAAGGACGTTGAGTAGCCATGTTAGAGATAGAGTTAGCAAAAGCTTTTGACCGTGTGCGTCACGACGTTCTCTTCAGGATCTTAGAACATGCCGGTGTAGGAAACATTATTTTAAAATGAGTAAAAATGGCCTACAGAGATTGCGCAACAAGACTGGTGTTAAACAAGAAAGTGTATGATGTCATTCCGGTTCTCTCATCGGTACGCCAGGGGTGTCCCATGTCTCCATTGCTTTTTTCTCTGTACTTAGAGCCTTTGTCTATCAGCGTACTGCGCTGTGACAGTGTGTGTGGTTTCACGCTTACGTCAGTTGAAGTTAAATTTCTGGCGTATGCCGATGACGTTGCTGTTTTTTGTTCAGACCTGCAAAGTGTGTCGCAGGTGGTCAGTTTGACCAAGCGTTCCTGTGATTCGACCGGGGCCGCTGTAAACTGGTCTAAGAGCTGTGGTTTGTTTTACGGTTGCTGGGACATGGTACCTACTTTTTTCGAGAGTGTGGAGTGGAGCAGGGAGCCCTGTGAATACCTCGGGGTGCCCCTGCAGCACCACAAAAACAGTAAAACGTATTGGGAAGACTGTGCAGTCCGGCTCAAAGATAGCACAACGAAGTGGGCCAGGAGCGAACTGTCCGTGTTTGCGCGAGCGACAGTTTGTAATGTGTTCCTGGTGTCGAAACTGTGTTACGTATTGCAAGTGTTGCAGTGTACGCGTGTGAATATTCAAGCGTTTCTTTGCATTTTTTCTTTATTTATTTGGAGCTCATGTTCAGAGCCTATGAGGCGGGACAACCTTTTTAGAAGTGTCAAGTTAGGCGGAGTAGGGTTAACACACTTGTTTATTTCACAAATTGCTTCGCGTTTTTTTTTTTGTTTTTACGGGACCAGGAGAACCCTTTTCATGAAAACAGTTCTTCAGTGTAAGCTGGCCTTTTTTTGTGCCAACGTTCGTCGTGTCATCTTGTTCTCCGGAGTCACCACGTTTAGTTGGCTTTCTTAAAGGAGCTGTGCAACGATATTCAATTGGAATGTTTTTCTCTCTGCACGAGCTTACTGGCACACCTGGGACTCAAGGATACTCACACGCAACGCCATTGGCCAAGAAACTCCTTTGTTGCGGTGTAATTTCAAGGACAAAAGCGATCATTTTCATTCAATCTCTCCTTTGCAAAATTTCATGACGTAACTCGGGGATCGCAGTACACCCAAGTGACGATATTTGAATGCGGTTCATAGATTGGACCCGAGCATTGCGTGGGCACTCGACTTGGGCTCGTGACAATTGCTAGCTCGAGAAGCATTCGGGTTGTGACCCGTGTCCAATCGCTGCAACGACGACAACAGCCGAGCCATAACAATGTCTGGAACTCAGCGCGTCTCCTGCGCTTTGCCAACCCCAGCGCCAGTGATCAACACTGGCGGCATATAATCGGCTCCAGATCACGTGGCCGCTTGTTCTGGCTGCGAGTTGAGGGGGTGAACGCTGCTCGTTTTTCTTAAATTTTTTTCTGGGACTTCTATTGCGTGGGGTGAAAAACGAACGCGTGTTTCATGGGTCATTAACGTTAGGGATCCGTTTTAAGCGGTATTTGTGCACAGTACAAAAATTGTTGCATCGCTCCTTTAAGGAGGTGGCTGATTCCTTTTTATTTTTGAATGCAAGGTTCTCGATCGAGTATTTGAGTTCCGTTTCCCGGATGAGGCTTGTGCGGGACTTGAGGAACGTGCTTTTCCCCATTCCGCTCTATCGGTCTTTATTTGCTGCCGGACCTGGGCAGGACTGTCTACAGAGGGTAAAAAAAGGACAATAGCGCCACGAGTAAAAACTTTCTTTTTCAAACTACATACTGCAACGCTGCCAGTTAAGCCCTGGCTTCAAGATAAAGAAATATATGTACCCTCAACTATATACTGCAACTTATGTAAGGCCCCCGAAACCATTAATCATATTTTCATCGACTGTTGGGGCGCCATTTTCTTTTGGGACCGTCCTCAAAAGAACAATAAAAAAAGAATTATACATGAACCCACATACTATCCGCTATCTCCCTCTTAAGAAAAATGAAACTATGCCCATTGATACGTTTGTAGTTCTTGGTCTTTATAGCCTCTGGCTATCTAATTCAGTGTATGGCACGCAGACGTCACACTCCTGCATACGCACATTGTATTTTTAGAGTGTATTTCTACTCTGAAATCCGTCATCGAGACACTTCCATAGATGCCCGAATGGGCAAGTGTTTTTGATCAGCTTCTTGCAGCAAAGTGGCTGTAGGGGACGCCCAGAAGACTTGGGTGTTGCCTTTTTACACCACGGGCCAGTGTATGTGCTACACGCCTGTATATTGAAGTAAAAAAAAAGGGGGAGGAAGGGGCCGAGTGGGCTAACGCGTCTCAGCTCGGAGCGTGGAGCGAAAGCTTGCGCTGGGAACCTCCTGGGTTCGGTCCCCGCCGCCCCCGCCCGTTTCGATCTGGCTGAGTTTTGTACCGGCACGCGTTCGTGTGATCACTATGCGTGATGCACGTTAAAAACCCCAGGTTAGCGGTTGTACTGCACTGGCTAAATTTCTCATCTACAGCTAAGAGACCGATTATGGGGAGCGCTAGTTCGTCTGCTTCTTTTGCAGGGGTTGTGGCGACGCCAGAACGGCGAACTCTGATTGAATGATAGTGGGTAGATCTCGAAGCAAGCTGACTTGAAGCCTAGTAACCATCCTTCAATCAGAGCCAATCTGAGCTCGGCTTTGTTCTGAGGTCACCGCAACGCCTGCGCAAGAAGCAAACGAATTTCTATCCGCAGAGTATCGACATGAGAAGGAACCGAGAAAAGTTGTGTGGTTCCTGAACAAGCAAGCAGCCTCACCGTCAGTTCGGTTCAGGCTGTGTTGCCGTCAAAACAATATAAAGTTGTAGCTACAAATTTTTACCCCGTAAAGCTTTTTTTTTTTTTTTTTTTTTTTATGCAGTCACAATCAAAGCGGGATCTTTAAGGATTTCTTCGACTGTGATGAAACCAGTCTGAGCGTTGTGTTCTAAGACTTACCGGTACTGCTAAAGTTGGAGAACGGGTCCGGGCTATAAAGATGACTATGTTTGATCAGACTAGAAATTTTATGGTATCGTTGGAAGTCTCGTCCTGCGTCCGCGGTTCAGCCTTTATGTAGCCGCGGAGATATGACATTTTTGTCAGTGACATAATTTTTGTGACTGGCGGTGGCGGAAGGCTTGGATGACGATGAGGTCCAGCAGCTTCTTTTTGTGGCCCGAAGGCTTATGGTCTCGTAGCAGCCCCCTATTGTGAAGTTAAAAAAGGATGGTAAGAATGTCCCGTTGATGCTGGTAGCTATGGCAGCTTTTTGAAAGCCTTGGTTCAGGGTCTTCAAAAGGCTCTTTGTCAGGAGGGTATCCGTGTTGCGGACTGCCCCCCTAACTGTGCCGTAAGTCGACTACGGCCTTGTTGAGGTATAGACATAACTGTACATACTCTAAAAACAGAAAACCCTAGTCAGCCTAACCTCCACATCGATTCTTCTTGCAGGATTTTCCTTGGACTGCCACAGTGACTGTAAGAGGATGGTTTGCCTTCTGGCTCGATCGCCGAGTAGATGGTCACCATCTCTGGTTCGCCCGTGTATCCGCCTTGGCCTTGATAGATAACAACCTGACCGTCGTTGATAGTCTCACAGTCACCTTTGAGGCCTCAGGCGTCTTCAGGCAGATCGCCACCCACGACTCCAGGGTCTTCGTATACGAGTTAAGGAGGTTCGAACGAGCGAAGCCCACAACTACAAGACGACCAAAGCCCTTCATAACGCCTCCACCCCTAGAGTAATAACTGAGCGCCCAAACGACCCGACAAAATGCAAACTAAAAATAAGAAAAGACGCGAATTCGATTATGCTGAGTAAAACCAGGGAGCACAAAATGTGTTCAAAGCAGACTTGTACGTAACGACTTCCCTGTAGCTAATTAATTGCAATCAGATACATCTTATTGTACCTTTTCAACAACCCAATTTGTTTTCTGCGGTAACGTTTGCGGTAACTAAATCACTATTTTTTGTAATCAATTGCGAGTAATGAATTCGATGTTTACAAAACAGCTACAACTATTGAGTTGATTTTTGTTTTACGTAAAGAAATCACCCTGTCAGCCAGCGCGTCACTCGTCTAGGCTGCACCAACGTTGGACTCTTCTTGGACCACTGAGAAACTAAAAAAAGATACAAGGTACCAGAAGGATTCGAATGTCAACGCGCTCAGCAATGTTTTTACTGTCGAGCTGTCGAGAGTGCCTCGGTTCCTCTATACGGGTTGTCACGATCCTGGCTTCCCGCGGCATAGGCGGTTTTCTGCACTGACCTTATCTGGTGATGTGAAACGTAACGTGAAAAGTAATAAATTATTTCCTGCTAATTTTTCAATTACTTCTGAGATTCAATAATTGATTTGTGCAATCAGAGGCATTTTTCAGTGAAGTATTAGTAATTGTAGTCGGTTACTATTTTTCACTAACGCATACAAGACTGGTTAGGTAAACTACCACCTCGCAGAAATTGACGTCAAGTGACGTGAGGTAACACGACGTGCCCCCATATGAAGTCAATTTCCCCACTACACAACCAGTAGTAGGACACGTTCATTACGTTCAGAAAAACGGGAGAGAAAGGGATGGGGATCGGTATCGATTGCTACGAGGCGTGAACGTCCTGTCACATGACATACATCCAGAATGAACAAACAGATGGTAGGTCAGATATGCACCACCAGGGCCTCTAATCTCGTCAATCACAAAGTTGGGGCCAAAGTTGACAGAACGCACCATTTGGCATATCACGACGATGACTTCGTGCTTTTTCCGCCGACGTCCAATCGGCGCGCTCTGCGAACTTTCTGCTCCAGTTTGGTGTTCGACGAGTTTAGTGCCCCAAGCCCGACTCGAGCAGAAAGTGTTACGACTCGCGAACCTTGAGAGCGCGCCTACTGTTTTGTTTTTTGCATCGCAACTCGCGCTTCCCATTAGCATCGCCGCCGATTTTACTTAAGGCTAGACCTGGGCTCCGGTCAGAAATCGCCGGTGGCGGCCTGTTGACGGCGCGGGGGTCAACGGATCGGCGGCGGCGTGGTCTGGAAGAAAGAGAGGGGGGGGGGGGGGGTAAATTAGAGAGCGAACGGGAGAGAGGAGTCGTTTGAATTTATAAAACAAAATACAAATACCATATGAACAGTACGATTTTTTTTTTCTGGGGAGTTACATTGCTTTTGCTGTGAAGAGTGCGTCCGTTGGAAAAATCAGATACTCCGGCGTCTTGTTCATTCTCTTTTGTAGACAATATGCCGCCGGCCGCAGCCCCCGCGCAAATCCTCTGCAAGAGGAGAACTGACGACAACAAGTACTTCATCACCGCCTTCGACCCCACCATGCTCTTGTCGTGCGCACCGTGCCTGGCAAGTCGACCGAGCACGTCCTTCGATTTCTAAAAGAACTCGTACTCTTATTCGGTACACCGCAAGCCGTCATCATCGACGACAGGGTCCCAACCTGACGTTTGCCTACACGGTACTCCGTGGACAGGCCAATTCAGAACATCCTTACAGTACCTTACGCTCCCGAAACTAACGGCTTTGTCGAACGCGCCAGCGGAAAACTTTTTCCATGTCAGCGAAAGAACGTCAACGGCGACATCGACCATTGGACCGACTATCTCATGGCAATCATCTTTCAGGTGAATTAGCAGCCGTTCGCCGGACCTCAATATGACCGTTAGAACTCCCCTTCAACTCTGCCCCACGTCGACCAGTGGGCAATGCATTTTACCCGCTTTCCGACCAGGTCGGCGACGTACACGCGAACCGCGACACTGCAAACGCGAACCTCGCTGACTACCTTCACGGCATGAAGCGTTTCTACAATCGAAAATGTCGACCAGCTTCATACAGCGTCGGGGAAAGCGTACGGTACACGAACGGTATTCGTACATAGAAACTTGGCCCGCTTTCTCACAGACCATACGTTGTCATTTTAGTCATCAGCAACGTAGACAAGAAAACTTCCGACATTTCCGGGTCTACCCTGTAAGGCACACCGAATTGCTGCGAAGTTGCCGCACATCTCAAGTTTTTTCACGAACAACCAGGGGTCGACACCGATTTCACCGCTTCGCAACCGACTCGCTTTGCACCGCGGCAGATCCTCAGATGACACGCGCTTCACGCCGACGCCGCCCTCCACAATGGCAACACGCATAACCGAGGATCACGACAACGTTAGCAAGATTCGCACATTTGCGATGACGCGAAGATTTTGAGGTCGGGTGTGCAAGAGAAGGTGCTGGCGGCGAAGACCCGTAAGGAAAGCTTGCCCGCCTCGACCGGATAATGTGATCGAAATCCGACCAGCTCGACTTTGACTCCCGATGCTGGATCCCGGCGTGGGATTGACAAATAAGGACCTCTAGAAAGCGATAGTATACTGTTTCCGCTGCAAAATATGCCATGGCCACCACAATGGCGGCTGGTGTGACGTCAGTGCAGGCCATGAAACCACCGGGCTCGTGCCTTCGGCTTCACTTGCACTTATGGCTAAATAGAGCCTTGAGTGAGTGAGGAGGAGGGTAGAAAGAGGAGGTAGGAGGAGGAGGAGGGGAGGAGAAGGGGGAGGATTAGGGGAGAGGTGGAGGAAAAGAAGGAGGAAGAGGAAAGGAAACGGGGAAAGGATGAGAAGAAAAGGAGGGGAGGAGGAGGAGCAGAGAACGAGGGGAGGACGACAGGAGTGAGAGAGAAGGCGAAGAGGAAGACGGTAAGAGAATGAGGAAAGGACGAGGGGAGGGTACGGAGGAGCAGGAGATGCATATCCTCCCCTCTGTATCCTCCCCTCCTCTTCCTCAAGCCAATTTCGCATTACAGAGATTTGGAAACGACTTGCATTTTCTCAAACCCTTTTTTACCCTTTTACTAGGCTGTAAACGCGAGCTTTGCTCAAAGAGTCACCTCAACCGCATGAACCTTTTATTTATTTATTTTATTTATTTATTTATTTATTTATTTATTTAGGAATACTGCATGCCAATTGCGGCCCAAGCAGGATTGGGGGTTACAAAAGTGGAGTCAAAAAAGCACAACACCAGGTAATCCGTAAAATGGAAGAGGGGAACAGGGGAAAATTATGCAAAAATTGTAATAAAGCACAAAAACAAGTGCGTAAAAAAATGTAATAGCTCACAACTAAGTTGGGAGGGGTGGCGGTAGTGGGGAACAGGAAAATAAAACACAATGCAAAGAGTTACACATCAAACAAACGCTCAATCGACTCCAAAACATTGTCAGATATAAATATGTGATGAGGTAGGTTGTTCCATTCAGTTATGGTTCTGGGAAAGAAGGAGTATTTAAATGCATTTGTTCGAGCGAATACTGGAGTTATTTTATGCGGATTGTCATGCCTTGTGCGCCTAGTCGAGGATGGGTGAAGAAAGGACGACGATTCAAGCTGGAGTTTTTTAAACCAGAGTTGATAAAGAAATTTTAGTCTACCTAGCTTCCTTCGTGATTCAAGAGAGATGATGTTGTTACTTTGAATTAAGGCAGCAGGTGAGTCATGCAGGTGGTAGCGATTAAATATAAAACGAGCTGCTTGCTTTTGAACATCTTCCAGTATCTTGATATCTTTTTTTGTGAATGGATCCCAGACTGTACAGGCGTATTCTAACTTCGTTTTTATCAATGTGTTATAGGCTAAAAGTTTCACATGAGAAGGCACGTGCTTAAGCTTGTGCCTTATCATACCTAGTTTTCGACGGGCAGCTGCACAAACGTGTTCAATGTGTGAGGACCAAGATAAGTTGCTAGAAATTGTTATACCAAGATATTTAAAGCTCATCGTCCGAGAGATGTAGTTATCCCAATAAAGTATTCATACTGATGAGAGGACTTTTTGTTAGTGATGCGCATGTGCAAGGACTTTTCTTGGCTAAGCTTCATCTCCCAACGATCGCACCAGCTAGAAACTGCATTAAGACTTTCGTTCAGAACAACTTGGTCCTTAGTAGATTTAATATCCTTGAACAATAGACAGTCGTCCGCAAATAAACGAATACTCACGCTTTCACCTATACAAAAAGTGAGGTCATTAATAAAAATTGAAAAAAGAAAAGGGCCGAGGACACTCTCTTGCGGAGCACCCGAAATTACAGGAAGAGTATCAAAATGGTGACCGTCTACATCGCCGAATTGTTTTCGCATTTGAAGATAAGCTGAAATCCATTGAACAACTGTGATGGGAAAGCCAATCTCATTTAGTTTGTATATAAGACCGGAATGAGGAACTTTGTCGAAGGCTTTGCTAAAATCAAGGAAGATGACGTCGACTTGACCAGGCCTATCTACTATAGAAGCAAAGGAATGAATAGTTGAAATGAGCTGAGTAGTAGTAGAAAGTCCCTTTCGGAAACCATGCTGAAAAGGCGAGGTTATTTCATGTTTATCAAGGAAATCATTGATGTAATTAGAAATTATATGTTCCAGTAGTTTACACGAAGAGCTGGTGAGTGAAATTGGGCGATAATTCGTTAACATTGTACGGTCTCCTTTTTTTTAAAAACGGGTACAACCCGAGCAATTCGCCAATCTGAGGGAACAACGCCACATGAAAATGACATCTGTAATATAACAACAAGGAATCTAGAAATCCACTCAGCGTAACGACAAAGAAAAGCATTTGGTATATCATCAGGACGATTTGACGATTTAGGTTTGAGGTTAAGTAGCATAGAAAAGATACCTTCAAACGTGATGAACTCTGAGCTTATTTCAGTTTCTTCGTTAAAGGAGGAAT